CAGTGCTAAACGGAACAAACTTTCAAAACCGTAAAATTATTACATTATTTATCACTCATTTGCTCTAATTATTATGTGGTACGTGGTGAATTAATTGCATATGAAATATTACTGTTTGTGGGGATACATTTTAGTAAGTGCCAACTAACCAAATGCAAAAGTTTAATTATTATAACGAATATTGTGAGTATGTGATATTTTTTATGCACCAAGGGTAATTATATGTGAAATACAGTAGAATCGATTGGTTAGACGTAACGAGTGTTGTGTGTATGTAATATTTGTTACATGCTATGAATATGCAATGCTAAAATTATGGGATTATATAATAAATATTATATATATATACGAATATAACTAAGTAGGTGGGACATTTGCATATATACATATGTGTTTATAAGAGATATTTCTTAAAGTTTAAGTGTTAAAATTATGTGTTTTGCTACATAAACTATAATTAAAATGGAGTTGTATAGATCTAGCACAGAGTAGCTTGTTTATGAATAAATAATTAGGTACAAAACGAATAGGCTTCCAATATATAAAAATAAAACTTTGGATAAAGTATTAAGCATTTTATTTCATTCTGTTAACACCTGTTCCATAATACAATATCATTTTTAAGCAGAGTATCGTCAACAATTCCCGTAGCACGTCTTTGCACCGCGTCAAAGGGCTCAAGCTGGCATCCGGGAGCTCCCGCCCAAAGATGGCAACAGTATTCCATATGGGCACGGACTTGTTACTTATAGTAGCAGTCTCTGCTCCGAATGTGAAATACCGCTTAGCCTTGTTGAGCACACCAAGTTTTTTGGACGCCAGTTTGACTTTGGCATCTAAGTGACTACGGAATTGAACGTCACTAGAGATGTCGACACCAAGGATCCCGATGAGCTCCGAGACATTTAAGTTAGTTCGTTCGAGCAGGCTTAGCTTGATTGTGTTTTTATGTTCGCTTACTGTCGCCTACTTTCTGTTGTTCAGGATATCCGTTTTCTCGAATAGTGGAATTTATTTTCCTATTTTAAGTAAAAAAAAATTGGGAAATCGGGGAAGCAGTACTTCCGTGGATGAACACTTTCACAAGGAGCTCTACTGCTAAATAATAATAAAGTCTAACCTACACACCCAAAGATTCTTACACATAGGAACTCTACCTACACGTTATCAGTCTAAAACCTGGATGGTCTTCACTTAAACCATCATCATTCATATACGTCCTACTGCTATTCACAAGGTTTAAGCCCCTGCGATGCGGTTTGGTGACTACACGCCTTCAAAAAGTTATGTGAACCTCCTCCGGCAAGCATTGTCATCGCGATCATTTCTTCATTTTTAAAACAAGATAATTGATTACAGAACCGGGCATGTTCTAAAAGTGACACAGCTAGTCCGATGCTGCCACTCGCAATGAAGGAACTACACAGTAACTGCTCGCCGCTGCATAAATGTGTATTTATTAAATTCCTTCCAAAACTTACATAACTCATATGTCACCCTTGTGATTTGCTTAACTAATAGCCAAACTAACAAAATACTTCGTTCCCAATTAGCTCAAGGTTGTTCAAAAACGATAAAAAGAAAAACAATTGGAACAAACATTGACCCGAAAAAGTATTAATATGAAATATGTAAGGTCACACGAAATAGGCTTCAAGTAGAGTAAAGGTTTATTATGTAGATTTGTAGAGTATTAAGTAGAAACTTATGTTGGACTTCAGGTATGGTCGACAGCACGCTGAACTCTATACATTGTAGTCTCAACTGCCTTACACAATAACATAGTAATAATAAGAACAATAATAACCGCGCCATACTCACTGATGTGACTATTAATTTTAATAGACAAGATATGACCCTACAAGATAAAATAATTACTTACATTTCCCAACAACGAAAAAAAATTTCCCAAAAAAAACTTCTTTTCGTAACGTAACCAATCGTAAGTAATCTTGCTTTTTTCTCTGCCTTTCAAATCTGCGTTTGTCTTCTCTTTGGTACCACTCTATTATTTCTCTAATCCACTTTCCAGTCTCCCTCATTATGTCCTGCCGAACGCCACATTAGTTTTACGCCATAGCCACGTAGTTCTTCACTCCAATACCATTGTTCTACGTTGAATAAACCAGATGCTATTTCTGTCTTTCCTTCCCATGTTCATCATACTTCTCCGCATGCATGTTGGTTTTTTACAATAAAGTTACAATTAATAAACAAAATATGCTGCTACAACTATTTCACTAAGTACCTATGTTGAAAAGTCTATGAGGCCATAGGAACTAGGCTTTAACATGACACGAATTTTGTGATTTCGTGAACAGGATTGAACGCGAACATTCGTTAAGGAGAAATTTGGCGATAAGATTGGGCTTACGTAGATAAATTAGGTCATTTATAAAATATATTTAGTGTTGCACAGTAAACTAGGCATTATATAGAGATGTACATAACATGTACTACAACAACTAGTTACAGTAATACTTTTTTATGATATCAAGTGATGGTGCGGAACAAGTTTTGCGCCTGGTTGTAAACGACACGCCTGTCCATAGCAGTCACAGTGCCACTAAAAGTTTTAAATCGGAATGATTTGAGGGGCACTAACACTGCGCCAGTCGCGAGATATATGTTGATAAGAATCTTCGAACTAGATTAGTCGATAACATTTTATCCTCGAATAGGAGTCATAAAGTTTCACATATAAATTTGTTTCATATAATTTGTATTACTTTTATAACTTTAGGCTCAACTCACATCAAAGAACTGTTGAAAGGACAGTGGAACAATTTTGGTTCTAGTATGTACGGAAGTATGGGTACTCGTTGTATGTATTCCAAACCTGATTCTGATTTTACTATTATACATATATTTACTATAAACAGGACGCGACGCGACGCTTCGACTCTGCGCCAGTGTGAGTTGAACCTTACGTGATATATATGCTTTTGACTTATGACCACAAGTGGCTTTATAATACCAAAGAGGGTACGAAATATTATTCCGGCTATTATCGTTGCATGTACAGATAACATTCGTAGTCTCCTCTACCTACCCCACTGAGAGCAAAGTTATACCACACTTCGTGTTTTTGAGTTTTTGAGACAAACTTTGACTTTACGATTGACGGACACTGCCTCCATGATCGAACGGTTGCCATACTGGACTGCCACGCAAGAGGTTCCGAGTTCGATTCCCGGGCCGGGAGATATATTTGTATGGTCTACATTTATATCTCTCTTGAGTTTGAGTGTAATTTGTGGTTGTCTATGCGTGTGTCTATGGCACCCGCGATACAGTGTTTCCCTAGTGCGGGGCTATGAGTGTGTGCGCGTTATTATTACTTTAAAAATAAAACATAAAAATAAAAATAATACTGGCAGCTGTTTAATTATTTTTTCAACTACGAATTTGGAATGTTTGTGTTCTATTCGTAACTGTTAAAATTAATTTCTATTATTTTTCCCGTGATGAAGAGAACAAAACAATTACGTGCGATTGTAATTTCGCTGCATAAGGCGGAATAAACCTATAACCTTTTTTAAAAATTGTATTCTGTGAAGTTCTCTGTTGTTGTGGATTCTCCTCTCAGTGAATTCTGTCGAAATTCACCGGTCAAATTTTGAGTACAAAACGCGTGTGTTCCTTAACTTGACATTGGCGGAGTCGTCGATGGTGTCAATGGAGCTATAACATTATAAAAAAGAAGAAATTTTTATGTATATTTTATTTCGTACCAAAGCTTATGAACAGAAGTGGTCTCTAAATATTGATAATGTTATTATTACTATTATTACTACTATTTTTTGGTTCTAGTCCCACGGTCACGGTTGACCTGATAATGACATACATTTCTAACGAAAATGAAGATAAACCAATCGTTTCTGTGTAGTAAATATACGAGTACTAAGTATTAGGTATATGGTTAAGCCACCTTTCTTTGAAAATGATTTTTATTTTATTAATAAATTGACAAAAACATGTTCTATGGTCATAAACATATATGAACACGTAAGAGAGCCGTTAAAGTTTGAAAAATGGCTCTTGTAATGACTCACGCTGCATCGGCTACAGTTTACTTTGAAGTAAAAAAAGGCAGCAACCATATATATAAAGCGGTTTCCTAATCAGTAAATCAAACATTCATTTATATGCTATAAGAAATGGAATACTGAAATATACACATATAAGGGACAAATACGTACCTTATAAGTATACATGTCAATTCTAACCATGTATTATATTTTTGTTATTATTATAATATAATACATTAGTGATGTGGATAAATTTTCTTTCATAATTACTTGTATATGGGTATACGTACTATATTCATTCATCAGACTAAAAAATACGATACGATCACAAAATCTAAATGAGAACAGAATACCATACAAGTATGACATCTTTTAGCATTACCTACGTAGTGGCTTGATTATTGCAAATTTAATTTCGATTAGTTACAATTTCTGTAAATTCTTAAACCCGTGCAGGTACTAGATGAATACTTATGCAAAACGAAAATTCTTAAGAAAAAAGCGTTTTAACATTTTGGCACGGTACGCTACAAAGAAAATCAGGACGCACGAGGGTTCGTGACAAAATGGCGTGTGGGACCAGCGTCAAAAATCGATCGCCACCTCGAACGTATTTTATGGTAATAAAGTCCCAGATCATTCGGCCAACACTCGCCTTACTCCTTCGAAGGAAAGTTTAAGTTATTTCTTTGAAACCAGACGACGTTCGTTACTTGATGTTTGCCCTACTTCCAACGATTTGTTGACTATACTTTTAAAGCCATTTCGTAGTTTTCTATTTATTTAACTCTATCGAGATTACCTTGATTTGAAAGTGAATTTAATGCTAAATGAAACAAAGCTTTTCAATTATTTCGATTTATTTCATAAAAATAAAAAGTTTCGAGTCATAATTTCATCGAGCCTTTTCTTTTAATTTTCAGTAGATTAAATGAAGTTTTTATGTTTTTTATGTTTCTTCTTTTTAACAGGTTCTTCAATTAATGCATCAGATTCGTCTACTATGTCACTCGCTTCAGAAACGTCTTTACGCTTCTTTTTCTTTTTTTTAGAGTCCTGTTGAACAACATCGGTAGTTTCTCTAAAAGTTGCTGAGTCATGTTCTTCCCTTTGCAAGGTTTTATGTTTCTTTTCTTTCTTTTTATCTATTTCCAAAGATTTTTCAACATTCTCACTCTCAGGTTTATCGCAAGCAGATTCATTATGATTACGTTTGTCATTTTTTTTGCGCTCCTCATTTCCAGGCTCATTGTGGTGTAATGGCATTTCGTAGAAATTATTTTTAAAGTTTTCATTAACACTGTTCTCTGCCACTGAATCTATATTTTTCTTTTCACTGATATCTGACGCACTAACATTTTGAATTTCTTTGCTCCCATCTATATGTTTCTTTTTCTTTTTTTTCTTATTGTATGTCTCAACATCGTCATTCAATTCTTCGTTATTATCCTGAATCGTTGCCATGTTTTCAGTAGACAGTGTCATAGATTCTGCATTTTGTCTCCTTTCCGCATTTTTAGGATCTCTATCAAGCACCGCCAAAAAGAACCCAATAGTAAAATCAGAATCAGGTTTGGAATACATACAACGAGTACCCATACTTCCGTACATACTAGAACCAAAATTGTTCCACTGTCCTTTCAGCAGTTCTTTGATGTCTTGTACTTTCCATTTGGCTCTTGAGGCCTTTACTACATTGGTGATAACCCTTTCGTTCTCTTCGGGGAAAAGTGAACAAGTACTGTAGACAATTCTCTTTGCATTTGGGAAGGCATTCATGGCGTGTTTAAGAAACTTCTCCTGTAGCGATGTTAGTTTGGCCAGTCTGGTATCTTCAATATAGTTGTGTACGCAGAGTTCCATACCTACGTGTTTAACAATTGATATTGAAAAATGTGTTCAGAATGCAAATTGAGATTGACGACGACAATTTTAGTCAGATAACGTTTTCATTAACTGGCACTATTTAACAACGATACACAAATACAAAATTTACTTAAACCAATTAAACAAAAGTTTCGTAAAAACGAGTTTGTAAATTATCAACACTGAAAGTATGGCGAATGACACTACCATTTAAACATGACTTAAGAAACCTAATTTCATTACCTGATCCTGAGCAACTAGGGTCAAGAATTATGTACTCTACATCGTCGTAGTCCCCTCTTCTAATTTCCAGGCAATCCTTGTTGAGTGTTTCGACACACTTCGAGCCAGTTTTCTCAACGAAGTCGCATAACGTCTGATATCGTTTCTCGTTCCTTTCTACTGCGTAGATTTTACCCTGGGTGTTTTCAATGACATTAACTTTTGTTACATATTGTGAAACTAACATAAGCTTGCTGTAAGGGCAATTTTGAAACTAGACCTCAAAGTGTCTTTGAGAAATAAATTTAAGGAAATTAACAATTACACTGGCGTCATAGTACATTTAGAAAAATGTAATATGTAGAAATAACAATTTTTTAATGAAATATGTGTAGGGTGTAAATTTGCGACGGGGCAGCAAAGGCAACTACCTTAATTGTTGTAGTTACAGGCGAATGGTTCTAGAAGACTATCCATGAATTTGGAAGATATTTTGATTGGCATTCACAGATTTTCAAAAAATGGTACAGTCAGCAAGATCAAAGCCAATTTATACTAAACTACTTACTTTGCATTTTGTAGGAACATATTTAGTAATCAGTTATTCTAGGTAGATGGTAAAAAGTTTTTTGCGATTTCTGACATTTCGAGTACTCTTACCTCAGTTGGTCCCATAAAGACCATTGATCCTTACCAGAGACTGGATCGAATGGCATAAAAAAGTTTTGTATAAATTGCCTTTTATCTTGCCGACTGTACCATTTTTTCAAAATCTGTGAATGCCAATCAATATATCTTCAAAATTCATGGATAGTCTTCTAGAACCGTTTTCCTGTAACTACAACAATTAAGGTAGCAGGCTTTGCTGCCCCGTCTCAAATTTACACCCTGTATAAGATACTGAGTTTTCTGATGGTGAAAAAAATCACGTGTCAACATTGAATCCTATAGCATTCGTCGGTTTTGCGCGCCAGATACGCATGTTCTTTTTAAACCCTCCTGATGACTAAGGTGTTTTTGAAATAAGCTTCTATTCTAGAAAACCATATTTGGTACTGCATTCATCACAGAATATATGAAATTATTATGCTCTTAGAATAAACCCCTTTACGCACAAAAAAGAATATTTACTTGTACACACCTCATTTCTCATAAAAGCAGCAAGTTGCGTAGTCTTCATTCCTGGCGCTGCACACATGTCAAGCACGACGCTTCCTGGAGGTGGAGCGAGGAGATGTACCGCCATTGCTGTGGCCTGGACAGCATTAAACATGACTTAGACAACTTTTATATTATTAAGGTTAACAATACACATTATTCAGTAGTAATGCAACATTACATAACTAACAAACAGTCTAACAGACTGGTTAAGCTTTAGGTTCCAATAAGTATTGAGGGGTAGTAGGGCAAAAGTCTTAAACCTTGGCAAACATACCTTATCCTGCAAAATTATTTTGTTCTCCAAATACAAATTGTGTTCATGCAACTTAGTTCCCGCGGGAAAAACAAACATTGATTTCAGATGATAATCCTGAGTAAAGTCATATTCTGTCAATTGCTGTATCTGGGTAAGGTAAACATTGTAGGATTCCGATGTGCAACGCATGTAATGATATCCTTCATCTTGAAATTCTCTAATAGCATCAGATGTTGTTAGGAGGTTTGTATTGATTCTTACGTAGCGTGGTCTGCGGATTACTGTAGAATAAACATATTAGAAATATTCTAGTTTAGTTATTGTTATAGTGACAAACTTCATATTTAAAAAAAACACTTTTATTCAACCTCAATGCAAAATGTACCCCTTTACTAGTGTAAATACAAAACTGTAATCTAGTTAATATGTAGATTAAATTAAGCTTACACAGTACATTTGTAACTTAAGCACTTTAGTCAATTATTTTCATCTTTCTCCTAAGTATAAAAGTGAAGTTGTGGCAACTTGCAAGTGAAATAACACAATAACTCGAGCCACATCATTTATTATTCCGACTATTTGTTGTAAGTATCGAGTTCTTAGGTTTTCGCGATTGTTACACATAGGAAATGAAATTATTTTTCTGGATTTAAATCGTATATTTGTTTTTTCAAACAACGACCAACGTTTCGGGCCCTTTTTTTTTTCCTCTAATGAAAAATCCCAAACAGACATAAGACTGCAGTACTAATTAATATGTTTTAGTTTATTCTAATTTCTATTAATAATTAATAATAAATTGAACTTAATAAAAATTCATTCAATAAAATAATTTGTAAAACTTAATATAGCGTAAATTGGACTATTTTCTTTGTAAAATTAAAAATAAGGTATTTAATTAATAACTATTGTAACTATAGTGACAACATAGGGTGGTTTGCATCAATATTAGACATAACTGGTTGAAGACTGTACCACCTCAGTCAATCGTGATCATGGGACCTGTAAAGGTCCCGAAACGTTGGTTTGTTTGAAAAAACAAATATTTATTTTTATTTATTTATTTATTTTTCAGGGATAACAAACAATTGTACATGAAATGTTTACAATCAGAGTTAAATATTTCTAACATAGGTACACGTACAATCAACAGCATTATCCACAAGTTAAAATTATTAAATATACACGATTTAAATCCGGAAAAATAGTTTTATTTCCTATTTGTTGTAAACTAATTTTAAGTAGTCAAACAATGCCAAATTGTAAGAAAAAAACACACAATACATGCAATGATTTATTTTAAGACTTAGAAATTATATAATTTCGTACAACACATTAAAAAGCACACTAAATAAGATAATTGTAAAAATACTGCATGACCAAATTGGAATGTTTGTGAACACATTTCAATCTTGTTTTAAGTTTAATTCACTTTTTTTACCCAATGCAGGCAGGGGCTCATATGAATGTTGATCTATTTCATTCCCATGTTCATCATACTCTTTTTCATGATATGCTTTAAATGCATACATAAATATTAAACAGTTCACTACAATAACTGCAGCAACAACTGATGACACATTTCGTGTATAAGCACTCACAGAATAATGTTCAGTTAAAACATGTTGGACACCGAAAAATGCAATGAAAGGCAATGTGAACATAGCAACACTGTACAGGAATAGTGTACCCAGCACAGCGACAGTCCGGTCAACCATTTTGATGAGTGTTTAGGTGTTATTAGATCTGTAACGAAATAAAAAAAAATTACCTTTTGTCTTGGAGCTATCTTGGCCAAATGTGTTGTGTTTCTCAAGCCGATCTTTATATGACAATATAGTTTGCACAGGTTTGCTGTTGCCAGGCAGTTCCTTTTTGCCAAATAATAATTCTGCTGTGAGGACTTTTGCCAGCCATGGATCTAAGCGAGGCTCTTTGGTTAGCAAACCACAACTTTCAAATATTTTATCTATCTCGGCTGCATGTTTGATTGTTTCATTAATCAGTGCGTAGAGCACGTTAGTCCTCTGTAAATTCCGAAATTTAAATATGATTCTGTGTTGTAATATATACTTGTAAAGAGAAGGAATATGAGAAAATAAATAATAAAAGAACACTTACGTAGTGGCGAAGTTTATCGTCGTACAACAAAGTTTTCACGCTACCTCCTTCAATTGAAACTTTTTTAAATATATTCGCAGCAATTTTGAAATGTCTTGGCACCTTGACAGAGTGCTCAAACATTGTTCATTTAATGCAGCAGGCCTACAAAAAATATTTCATTTCGAATAAAACATTGCCCAATTTATCACGAGACAAACGTCAATAGAATATTTTTAAGGTTAAAATGCGTTTAACTTTCGTTAATTTAAAAATCAAAGAATATAATTAAAACTGTGGCTGATAATTGTTACAAGAACGCAAATTTTTGATACAAAATAATCGAAAACTTGCCTTGGAGGTATCTGGATCTTGGACAAGTGCAAATTTTATGGTTAATTTATCATTTTAACCGTAGTATTTCTTATTAGTTTGTGATTTTAAAAAAACCAAGTTTTTTTTAATTTGAACGCAACCATTTGCCAAAATGAAATAAAGATTCCCATTCAAAGAAAAACATTGTTGGTTAGGTACTTTATACTAACGATCAATGGAAAGCTAAAGCGCATAGGTATTTAGTAAGGGGTTCGATCTGCATATTGACGATTTTTATATATACATAACTCGAAGATGTAAATAATACTGTTTCAGATATTATTGAGTCACTTGAGTTATGGAAACCAACATTAAGTGTGTGGGTCAAGAACACGTCTAGCAGACTTAAAGACTATCCACACACATCAGGGCCGTGCCCGCGATGTGGACGCGTGCTAATTTATATGAACTACGGGCCCGTCCCGGCGCCGGCCCGGACACGGACATGTGTGAACGAGTTCATACAAAGAACACGCAACGATATTTTTTGAGCCCCTGACGGAGCACGGCTCGGATATGTGTGGATAGACCTTTAAGATTTTCAATTCTATGTCATTTACCATGACAAAGTTCCTTAGAGGATGGAAAAAAAAAAATAAGTAATAGTCTAAGCAAAGTTCAAAGTTTCAAGCTTGATGTGCAAACAAATTTTGATAATATTGTCACTTAATTTGATATAACTTCATTACAATACTACATAGTAAACGGTAAAGACGCCAATGAATCAAATTATGTTCTGATGTAAATAGCTCATATCACATTGATACATAAATTGTATACAAATACCTATATACTGTTTACTTTGCTAGATTTTCGTTTTTGTGATAAGAAATAAAAAAAATAAAAGGTTTTGAGACCTAGAAAGGTATTTAGGATATTTGATAAATTGTATTTAAACCCATAATCTTATTATACCGTGTGTTGATTTGCATTCTCGCCATACTTAAGAAATAATATAAATAATACTATCATTTAAAAATATAAAAAATATTCTGTTCAATATTCTGACTAATTGTACCTACTAAAGTTTTGCAAAATTGTCTTTAAATCGTATGCACAGCGCCCGACAATGGGGCCTGAGCAAGCCCAAGTGAGCTCTCGGGCACTCGGCATTTCACCGAACCCAAAGTAATCTTTTTTGAGCACCTGATTACCTACTTTTTATTATCATGATTACGTATTGTTATAATTTTATAATTATTTACAATAATTAGGGAAGTTGACTGCAAATGTTTGTTTCTTTTTGTAATTTATATTTGGTGCTTACCAATTCTAGGTTAAGTACCTACTCGAAGGAATTGCCAGAAGTGTCCACCAATCACCATTGTGACTGGCTTTGGCTTTGCACACTTGACTTCACAAGTTTGAAAGCAGCGACGTATTATACGTGGAATTGTTCGACATTCGGTAATCTTCTCCATGTGAACGTTTATCACATCACCCCATTAGACACACTTGCCGTCCATAATCAGAAGGAGCGCTACCTTGATAATACAGTTCTGGTGAACACCAAACAAAGCTCAAACCACGCGCGACTGACTTACAAGAGAGTAACAGAGTCGGTTCGCCGTGCGATGGCACGCGCGGTGCAAATGTTCCATGACCGTTGGATCAGGTTATTGCGAATCTATGTTTACCGCAACTAAATAAAAATAAAAATTTAGGAATATTTTTTGCGGTTTATTTTTTACTGATTTCGATTCAATTTTGGATATAGAATAAATATTTACTGAGGTAAATATGGCGAGAATGCAAATCAACTCATTGTATAGGATCATTGATATAAACTTAATAATTCGTACTAGGTAGGTCATTTTTTGGGATAAATAAAAAATCAAAGAAAAAATAATAAGAAATGAAACTATTTTTCCTGATTTAAATCGTGTATATTTGTTTTTTCAAATAAACTGGTGTTTCGGGCCCTTGACAGGTCCCATGGTTACGGTAGAGCATTGACCATGACATTTAAATCCGAATTTAAATAGTTTCATTTCCTATGTGTAACAATCGCGAAAACCTAAGAACTCAAAGAAATAATTTCTTTTTATGTAGTGAGCTGACTGTAATGTTGATTATTATCAGTTATCAGTAGGGGGAAGTGGGGCAGAATCGTACACTTATTTCTAACTTTAATTTTAGGCTACTAAATGAAATTAAATGAATGAAAAATTTTAATCTAAAAAAATGGGAATTGGCCAATTCTGCCCCACCTGTGGGGTATTTTGATACATCGCTTCGGGCACTTAGATGTGTGAATCAACGCAGTGTGCCATTCCTGGTTGCCACGTATTATAAGCACTAGGTGATAAACTGTTCATATAGTATGACGCTATATGTGCTTCAGCACTTGCTACATCAAGACTTCTTTCTAGGGCACCATTTGAAAAGTGTTCTTTGTAATGTAGTCTTGAAAGTAGAAATATAGGTTGAAAAGCTGACTATAGCGCAAAATGTCACTAGTTCGCCTTTTTACAATAACTTGTTGAAACAGTATTACATTTTTCGTACAAAAAATCTAATAGGACCACTTTAATACGTACCAAACTGCCCCACTCACTAGTGTGTACCTCACCAGCCAATTTAGATTTTTTTTTATTTATATTAATTATTTAAAAAAAATCTTCATATATTCTCTCAGTCCCATGAAATTCTAGTTATTGAAAACTCTAGTTTAGCCTGTATAAAGACATAAAACCCTGTAAAGTGAACAAAACTGCAGTGGCCCTCGTATTTGTGTTGCTTATTTTTTTAGTCAACGGCTGTGAAAACACTGTGACCTGTCAAACAACAACATCTAAGTGGTGAGCTGCACTCAGCATGTCTATTACTCACACTCACGTACAAAAGCACGTTTTAGTATTATCACAAATAATATTATGTTTGAAGATATAGAGATAGTGCAGGTGTATGAATGTGCCCCCTGTATCAAACTGCCCCGCTTCCTGTTATTTGTTTATATGATAATAGAGAGTATTTGTATTGTAATACATACGGTGAAGAGCTCATCAAGCTTGACAATGTACTTTGGACCAAGGTTCATTCTAGGTCTGGTTTTTACATATAATGATATGACTTTACATCTACGAATATGTCATGCACATGTCACACAATTCTCCTGAAAGTGGTACGGTGAGTATTCTGTGGTCGTATTAAATGATTTGTTTGAACATTTTCACAGTGTTTCCTTGAATGGGCACCTTATTAAAAAATCACGGAGTTTAGACCATAGACAATTTACTTACACACAAAAATATCGTATTTTCGTTGCACGTAATCTTTATTTACAATTTTCCGAGGGAATATCCGTGAGATTTTAGTAATTTGTCGTGATATTTATATAATATGTGAACATTTTCTATTCAGGTAATACAATAAGCCATGTCCGCCTCTTATTTATCAATGTTGTTTGTGTAATTATCAATGTCAGTTTCTTTTCGAATGGCGATTTGTCCCTTGTAAAATACCAGGAAATACAATGATTCAACATCGCAACGCAGCGGTTTCAATAACAATGAGTAATGTCTTTTGTACAATATTTTCAGTGTGTGCCAGCAACCGCGTCGCTATGTAACTCTATCAGTGAAAGGTGTTGAAATGTGGGGGTAATTTTGAGTAATCAGGCGGAAGTCTATCAAAACAATGGTTCCTGCGCCGAGCAGCCCGCTTACGTGGGATTACTGGACGGCCTCGCCGGTCGACTTCGTGGAGCTGACATGTCTGATGCCAAACTCCGTGTTTATATCCCTAAGGGCGAGCTGGGACAGCACCCTGCAGGATGTCAAGGAGGTTAGTATTTTAAGTATCCTGTATCGGTGTGAGTCACGCTTTTCGCCAACACATTGTTTGCTACTCTAGGAAAGTAGGTTAAAGTATTGGGTAATATGTTTACAGAGATAGTTTTGATTTTAGAAAGTAGACCATATTGTTTACATGTGGATGTACTCATTTTAAGCATGTGGGCTGGTAAATTACTGGTGTGGTAGGTAATTGATTATTTAAAAATTTTTAAGTGTTTTGTAAAAAGAGCAGAACACTGATAAAGTTCTTTAAATATGTTGTTATCTATTGTAATGTAATAAATGATTTAAACAAAAATAATTTATAAATAATATAATTTAATGATTGTCTAGTGATCTGTATCCCCATCACTGCAGATTGTTTTGATTGAATATTCGACAAAAATGTTCTTTATTTACAACTATAAATGATATTTCAGGAACTATGGGACAAAGCAGCAAAATATCCCCTCTTTGGGATGCTGCACGAGATGTCCGGATATGTGTTCCGGTTTGTTAACTCGCTGGCAGCCCCAGAGGAGGTGGATGATGAGAGCAAGAGACTCCGAGATATTAGACCTGTGTGTGGAGTGTTGATGATCCATGAGCGGTCTATTGAGAGACCAGGAGAACAGTTGTTGAATACACAGATTAGTCATTTGATTGGGAGAGGTGAGACGTAATTAAAATTTGTCATAGGAGATAATAGATAGTAAAGACTACAACAAAAATGTGTTGTTTGTAGAGTAGGAAGGCATGAAAGTCCTTGATGTTGATCAATTTTGACAACTTAACAGGATGAAGAAAAAAATTGTTTGTGTCATTTATATAGCATCTGCCCCTGTAGTTGAAATTGGCGCGCGCTATTGGCTGTCTTAATCAGATCTAATTTATATAGTCAATAGTGCACGCTTCTTTAAATTTTATCGTGTGGCGTCGTGACTATGACGCGTAGCTATGCTGCAGGGGCAGGTTTATTAAATATAAATACGTAGTTTTTAAATATTTTTATTACATGTGTACGTATGTACATACATAAATGATTTTTCTTCATCCTGTAAAGTTATCAAAATTGAGATAGTACAGGTTGCCAGTTTACAGTCGATATGTTAGCCCAGGAGTAGGTAATGTGTACCTGTTAGAGGTCAACATTGGCTTGGTGTAGAGGCAAGTCACTCTCTTTATAGTTAAATCTACATTCTGTGTCTTTCACTTCAGGGGGTCAGACTATTTTGAGATAAACTGTGTTTATCTGCAAAAGGACAGTAAAAAAAAATTTTCCTGTCACACACATTTTAAATGGAACTAAAATATTAACTTGGTTTTAATGAAAATAAGAGCAGTTACATAAAAAATTATCAATTAAATTCCTCTGATAAAAATTGAGATGACTCAGTATTTAAGAATTATCAGTTATTTCAATATTACTTGTTGATTGCTATCAGTAAATACTGGAAAACAAGTTACATTAAAGTTCACATGAAATAAATGACTATGATATATAGGTGTCATATCTATAGCAATTATTAATTGTAACTTTGATATATTTCGTAAAACATTGAAAAAATAATAGCTCATTCTCTTTCTTAAAAACATACTTAATGCACTTTTCCTTTGAATCCTTTTGCATTATTTTCTAGCATGCACTGTTGCACTACTGTTTCTTAACATTACTTTGCTATTTTGTGTTATGTTATTTTTTAAGTTCGTTAAGTTGTTGAATTTTTTAAGTTTAGAGTGTTTTAACTGCCTCTGTGGCCAAACGGTTACCATGCTAGTCTTCCACGCAGATGTCCCGGTTTCGATTCCCAGGCCGAGAGAAATATTTATGTGGCCTACATTTGTTTCTCTCGTGAGTTTGGGTGTGCTTTGTGGTTGTCTATATGTGTGTCCATGGCACCCACGATACAGGGTTTCGCTATTGCGGGGCTATGCGTGTGCGCGCTATTATTATTGTTAACTCATAACTTTTCATCAGGTTTAAATGAATTCGACAATCTTCGAAGTTCAGAGGTCAATGATTTTCGAACAAGGATGCGTAATTTAGCAGAAGACTGCCTTATGAAAAGAGCTCAAAGCACTTTGATGGAAAGACTTCGGTACCAATTCCCGCCACGATTGGCAGACTATCCAGCTGTACCTAAGACCTTACTCAGCCATCTGAACAACCATCGCTTTATACTTGTCACTAAAATTGCCAATACAGAGGTGAGTTTTATTTATAAATGCTTGCGAAATCTTTTATTGTTTTATTCTTTTGTAATTTAATAGTAATAAGAAATTAAACATATGTTTGGAATAATTATTGTATATTTACACATTGACTTACAAATAAATGGACGACAGGTCTAATACAAAACCCACGAAAAAAAGTCCCAAGTCAACCTATTTAAACATAGTGACATGTAAAGGAATACGAAAAAGCTAAAACGTTGAATTTAAATTGTAATGTCATCGCAGTACTGTCTAATTTTTCTTGCTTCGCTGTCAGTCAAACAAACGAAGACTAAAGCGTGAATGACTCTCTGTATACGATTTTAACGCCCTATAAGTTCGGACACTTTTTAGCGCGGACCCGACGTCCATATAATTGTAATTGTAAATGAATGAAAGAGTGATGGATTGACTTCAATTTTTTCAATACTGTAATCAATCACTTTTCAAACTCATCAGTTCTTATAACGTTAAAATAGAAGTAAAGTTACCATAATCTCATACAATAATCATAATCAATTTTCCGTTAAGGAATAAATGTCCCAACATTATCTAACTCCCTATGTCAGTGGACAAAATAGGTATGCAATTGTTATGACATGGGTGTGTAGGTATAAGTTGTTTACTACAACATTATCTAGGGAACTCAATTTGCGTCATTCAGTGACGAGGTAGATAAAATGTCGATCTAACTTAAACCATTTTGTTTACTGAAAAGCAATATAACTTTTCGTAAGTTTTAACTTTATTTTATTTTGTTAGATGTATAAAACAATTTATTGTCTATATTACAATTTATATCCAAAATGTTAATGTAAGACAACATATACATACATACGTACAGTTTTATTACACATAACGTGAATATATATGTTGGTGTAAGCAAAAGAAGGAAACAATCTTAAATGCTGCCAGACTAACAACTACCATATGGATGTAATTTTGACTTAACTGATAAACAGACAATTTGAAATGTTTGAGGAAATAAGTACAGAATCTATATACCATAGATTATTTGTGAAAATATGATGAAATTCTTTTCAGCACATTCTTCTACAATTTAAAGTTTTTAGCCAACAGGAGGATTTGGTTTAATGTTAATGTCGAATAGCAACAAGGTCTCTGTGTATTACTTTATGCAAGTGAATGAATGTTCTGTTTTTTTTATTGTTGTATCCATGTGAGCCATGCGTGCGACTTGTGCAGCTACCAAGATTTCACATGACATTCAATAGTGCTTTCGAATGTTTATGAAAAACTCCGGTATTACTTCATTGGATTAATGTGGCCCTCTGCGGCCCAACACTGTGGCCGCTAGATGAGGTAATGGTTTGAATTGCCGCTAAGACCGATTTGCTGATGAATTTACAGGCACATGAGGCTTGTCAACTTATATTGAGATATTGAGGGGTGACAGGCGCATTGGCAATGCCCCACAGATCTTTGCGATTTAACGCTCTGAGTGGCATTGCAACTGTTATGGATGGGTTAGTTTACCATCAGGCGCACGACTTGTTTATCCCGTCAGTTGACATTATAAAAAACGCATATCTGACATCCGTCCGACCAAATTAAAAGACACAAGCTTCATTATTATTATATCTATTTTAAACTCTCGCTCCCCCAAGGCCTAAAAGATTAATTTTGAATTTTTAAATGGGAGAGGCGGTATTTCCCGGCAATGGCACAGTCGGCCGGGGTCAGGTACTCAGGTCTAAGATCCGGCGAACAATACGTGCCGTATCGAGCAGGACCGCCTTCTGCATTTGTGCTGGAAGCGACACGCCACAGAAATCCAACCGCCTCAAGCTATTAGAAAGGCTGACTGGAATTAACCCATTTGCGGACAAAACAATTGGGATTATTTCAGTGGCGGCCACATCCCACATGTCGGTGATCTTGTGCGCCAGGTCGAGATACTTATTATTATTATTATTAGGGTAGCTTCATTCGGGGCATATGTAGCCCCTCATCACTGCGACCATCAGTTGATCTATTGTGATCACCACTAATTACAGTTCGGTGGACTTTCCTGGCTCTGACAGATTTAATGTCCTTAGGTTATGGCATATGTCTTCCCAGTATGGAGCTTTGTACGCCCAAACATTGGGTGAGAAGAAGAGCAGGAGTATCGTCCGCTTCGTGGCAGAATCTACACTCTCTATTCTCTCTGCCCAGTATTTGACATGTACTTGTCAAGTCACATTGTCCAGTTAAGACTATTGAGCATTCTGATGCCATTCCTGTCCAATGACAGAGCGAGAAGCTCTGCAGTGTTTGAAACATGGACAACTATCAGGGCTTTTGAATGCTCAAGACCCTTACTCTGTAACCACATTTCTCGGGAGACGTGTGTGCTCTCGTTCAGCCGTGTGAGTTTTGGCAGGCTGTATGCTATCTCTATAAAGGGTTCGGGTCCAATAAAGGTTTCCCTAGCACCAACCTTTGCCAGTTCGTCTGCTGCCTCATTTCCCTCGACATCAGAGTGACCTGGAGTTCAGCGCAGGGCCACTTTATTCCTTTCCTTGAGAGCATTCAGTATAGTCACACATGAAGCTTCATATTTGACACCGGATGTCGGACGGAAAACGAGAGTACAGCGCCTGGTCTGAGTGTTCTGAGTGAATTCCGTTACTCTTGTAGTCACAGTACAGGGTATTCCCTAGTTTTAGATCTGGTAAATGATTGCTTGGCACATTAATATTATTATATAGAATAATTAAAGTGAAAACATAATGAATGCAGCAATTTTGTAGTCCCTTATTTGTTTTTCCAATGATATCATTGTTTAGAAGTCGTGCCAGTAAAAACCTACCGCATTATTGTGCTTCATTTACCTTAACAATTTGTTGGCACACTTGTGAAACCCATCTGAAGCAATGTTTTGTTTACGAGTTAATGTTAAATAAATAGGCTTGTTTTCCTTCTACTACGCTTTACTAGTTCTCAAAGTTCTCAAGATATTATTTATACAAATAAAAGTGAACCATGATCTTTGATAAAACTGGTGTTTAATTGTTTGAAGCATATACAAGGAAGTGACACAAATTACTTCAGGATCCACAAACGCGTTTTTTTTTTCAAACAAACCGACGTTTCGGGCTCTTTATAAATCATTACCAATAGGTAGCAATAGCGACCACGGAAGAAAAAACAATGGAAGTACCTTAGACCTACAACAACAACAATACACGCACAACGGTTCTGATAGTAATCAATACTATCAAAACCGTTGTTGCTAAACTCTCACATTTATAATTTGAAAGACATGAAATGTTTAGAATGATTGGTCGTAGTTTCTAATTTAAAAAGAAATAACAAATCGTGGACTGTTAATATAAATTAAATTTGGCATAACGTTTTATGCTAATTACGACGTCTTAATATTATTTTGAAATTTCAATCAATATGCTGCCATCTAGCGGCCAATAGCTGAACGACGACGAATTCGAGATGTTCACTTAGTGCTCCAAAAAAGAAGTGACCGTATTGCAGCAGTATAAGGTTTACTTTCGCAAAATCATAACACTAAACACATCATTTAAAATTTATTAAAATTAAATAAGACTTCATGATGGTATGAAAGACCACTATAGATAATATTACAAGTGCGACTATAATGTTTGAACTACAACGTAGCAAAATAAGGCATTTTTCTACGACTTTCGAGATAATTAACAAACGTACAAAGCGAAAATGGCGCACTATATACTATGTGTGTGGAATTACGCGTACTGTTGGCACACGTGTCATGCAAACTAAGTACTTCTACTGTATTTATTATTCAGTGAATGGGGACAAACGAAGAACTCAATATATTTTCAAAACAGTTTATTAATTCAAATTTGTTGACTGACTAAAGTTAATAATAACAATAATAATAATGTGCCATGGGAATTCTTTGTACTAAGTGTACCAGAACAACAAAATTAATTCCGGGGTACTACCCAGAACAGATCTGCACCAATTCTAAAAGTTGTTTTCTCAAACTTGTCCTACTGAGAAACCCTGACCTCCTCATCTAGCCACCAAAGTTGCCAAAGTTACTGGGATAACGTAGTCACATTATTTTGTATGAAAACCGTTTTGTATAAGTGTTAGGTAAATCGTGGACTGAATTACAAGCTTTTCCTTGTCATACATTCACAACTTGGAATGTGTAATTAGGAAAAGTGGAATGTATTTTTGTAAGGTTTTCCTTGAATTACACGTGTTCTTTGAATGCATGTTGAGACCCTGGAGACCTGTAACACAGGTCTAGTTATCTCCTAGTAGACTCCAGTCTCCCTACCTTAAGGTATTTAACTTGTAGCTTAATTGAAATAATAACCAATCTGGAATTATGCAACCTTCCTTTTGTGAAAGTGAATAAATATGCAAGAAACTTCCTAGTATAGAAAACGAGACAGTTGTAGGTATGAAGTTAAAAAGTACACTGAAAATGTTACAATCGGTTCACTGGAAGAATGCATATTGACTAATTATTACTGACGAAGTTTACATGCTTTTTATGTGCGTTTAGAAGTTGATTGAAACTATGTTAACAGACAGAAGTAATGGAAATCTGAAATCTTCCTTCCTTATCATCCATCACCTTTCCTTCTTAAATGATCTCTTTTTGTCCTGAAATGTGAGAGAATGAAATCGGCCTAGTACGCTCTTCAAACAAATCTACTAACACCTTGATTTTATTGGTCCCTAGTATTATCTTCAAACAATAAAGGTCCACGGAAGTTTTATTAAATATCCGGCTGAGAACCGTTCCACAGCTTTTTGAAATTTGGTACTGGGTTTTACTCGTACATTATTTGTGAGCTACTTTAACTTGTTTAACATTTAAAAAAAAAAATCGATACAAACTTGCCTAAATTTTATTAAAAAAAAGAAAATATTTAAAAAAAGGATCATTTATGAAAAAAATATCACTATTTCGCGGTCACTCTTATGCTGATGTCTGACGGTAAAATAAATAATAAGAAACAAAAATAGGCGCGTTGACGTCGAGACAAAAAGTTTTTACAGAATTATTTTCGACGTGATATACTTTCAGTGAGAAATAGGTTTGAAAATGACCTTTTAAATAGTACAGCCGCAATAAAAAATTGTACCAACTCATCACTGCGCAAGATACGTTAACTCACTTCTATTAAATGGCGAGGAGTACGCCATTGTTTAAAATGTTATTTACTGTTAGGATTACGAGTGTAGTGACCGTATGGAGTAAGCATGAATTTCAAATGAGTTGAGTATGTTTCACAGCACTGGTAACTTTAACTTCGAGTGGGCAGCACAAGTTGAAATGTTAGGGAAAGCCACGTCCTAAAACGACTGATAGCGAATATCACGAGATGCTCTGGTAGGTTTCATGGTATATATACGATACGGAAGGGGGTCTGATTATTTAATTATTATTAATGTTTGTTTTTTTTTTATTTGTGTACCTTCATCTCAATGTTTTGTCGACACGTACACTCTGTAGAAGTTTTATGACACCTTGTATTTCTCGCTAAGTGAATTTGTATTCTTTTGAGAAATAAATATCTTAAATCATACTTTTGTACATCAGACAGACAGTTGAAACTAACCGGTAAACTTGTTTTTGAATGTTTTAAATTTAGTTTTTAGGTTATCAACATACAACTTCATGCAAAATTTCGTGATAATAAGCAATAAAAGGACTGTGAGACCGCTTCCCAGTTCTTATACGGTATCTTGATAAGTTGATATAAAACAAAAAAGAAAAAGAAAATATCCTCTTTACTGAATAACCCTATGCAAGTGTCTAATCTAATCCCTATTAAGCAACACTAAAATAAATAAAAACTAGAGTATTAAAACTAAGTTGAATCTATTAAAACTAAGTTAAATCTAAGCAAACTAGTGTATAATTGTAATGATTTAAGCTTCAGATGACTTGCAATGACATGTAAACATTACTTAATATGATAATAACAATTGAATATTTATGACTATTCATTGGGACGCATTTCTTCCCCAAGTTCCTCGGCAACGTCTTCATCGTCCTCTTCATCCTTTTCACCTTCTTCTTGCCATTGATTCATAAGTTCCTTTGCTTCTTGCCTGTGGAAATTCTTTTTATGACACCAAGTGACGGAACGAATCGTGCAAAACAAATCGTGCGCCTGGTGGTAAGCGACACGCAAATTGCAAAGATTTGAGTGGTACTGCCACCGCGCCTGTCACCTTGAGACATAAATTCACAAGTCCCATATCGCCGCTTTACTTTCTCAAACTCGTATCTTATAAAGATAGAGAGAGATGGCAAAACTTTCTATTTATTTTAAATTGCTTATCAAGGGGTTTAATTTGGATCATTACTTTAAGTATAGGTAAAAACCAGTGTGTGAATGTGAAGGAAATGTGATGTGAAATCAGGCTGCAAAATATACATATGCAATCCATTTTTTGCATTTCTGTAACTTTATGCTTTAAGATACGAGTTTGAGAAAGTAAGGCGACGATATGCCTGTTAATTTCACCCTTAAAAACCGGAACGCAATAATGCTCATATTACTGCTTCGCTACAGAAACAGGTGAAGTGGCAGCAAGACGAATTCTTTCACCCTTGTGAGCTCCTTAGCTCTACTCCCACTAAAATAGATCGCAATATCCACAACTCAGCGTGTGGCCTGATTAATTCAACAACACATTGTATTATATTTCATTCAATCATTCCACACTGTATCAATTCAGTCTGCTGGTTAGTTTAATATTAATCATCGCTGGAGCTTCACATGAATGAAATACAACTAGAGATGGGTCATGGATAAATATCATTGGGATAAATACTCAGGATAAATATCCATTTTTACTCGACATTTATCCAAAAACGTGGATAAATATATTTAATCGTGGTTTATATTTATATTTAGTAAAACAAAGTATATTTTTTAAAACACTTTGTGTACCTACACAATTTATTTTTATATCATGTGTTTTAATTAATAGATTTTGTGTGTGAAATGTGAAAGAGAATCCTTAGGCTATTTCAAGTCCAAACATGACTTTATTTAGTACGCAGTAGACCCCAAGAGACCATAAAGTTGGGTCGACTTTATTCACGCAGGATAGGTCAGCTCAAGGGTTACAGTTAATTTGACAACTTTCTGTCAATCGAATTTTTTATACCACTCGCTCGAAAAACGTAGGTAGAACAGTATTGTTACATAAAAGAATAACAAAACGTAATTATTTAATAAAAAATGAATTCTAATGAATTTTTTTACAAATAACACAAAAAAATAATTATCCATGTTTTAGGATAAATACTCAGTAAAAACGGATATTTATCGGGGAAAAACCCATCTCTAAATACAACTAACTTTAATACTGGCAACTCTAAGATTAGAGTACAATACTAAAATAGAGAGTGTCAAACTCTGATTCCGGTTACTTTTGTGTTCATACACCGGATTTATAACACAATGTCATGACCCGGTATTTCCTAACAGAGCACTTTATAGAGAATACGGCCATGAGCAGAAGCAAGAGATCTGCAGTTTCCAAGATCCTAGGTACTTCTTTGCATCCGTTTTCAAGTATAAAACTATCGCTTTATTACCTTTCTTCCGGCGAATATTCGGTTTTGTTAAAACGCTTGAGCTTTGGCAACGCAGCCAGCACCTCAACTCTGATTTCAGGATCTTCTTCCTCGACGGCGGCCTCTGCGCTTTCTTTACCCGGCCCTCCTAGATACGGAGTCCCTTTCAGTATGAGTACTTCTAGGGCTGGCAACATCTAAAAAAACCATTGATTTACTGAAATGTTCAACATTAAACTACGAAATAATATGAAAATGAAATTACGATCACCAATTGTCACTTCAGATTTTTGTAATATAAACATCGCACCAATGATTTTTATATACAGTGACAGTTACAAAAAAACTACCCTTCATTCAGTCGACCAAGTATCATTAACAGGTTTCATTTATACGGAGTCATTTGTAACAACTTCACTTTCGTGCAAAATAAGAATATTTAAATAGATATTCCTAAACGGTGATCACTCTGTGTGGTAGCAAAATATAGCGCGAGAGTAAATACCAGTCCGATGCAAAACGCGGGGGTCAGGGTCTGATACAAACTTTATTTTTGATAAATTAATGAATTGGTTTTGTTGTTTGGTCAAACCAATGGTTTTGTGAAAAACTCTAATGTTATTAATTTAGTAATAATAATAACGCACACACGCAACATTATCAGGATTCCCTGAGTCGCCAGTGCCATGAACACACACATAGACAACCACAAAATACGCCCAAACTCACGAGAGAAATAAATGTGGCCATACTAATATTTCTCCCAGCCCGGGAATCGAACCTGGGACCTCAGCGGAGGCAGTTAGTCCTGTGAAGTTGTCAGTATATTACAATTAACTCTGTATATACAATACAATGTAGAAAGAGACAGATTCTTCGCTACAAAGGTTTCCTAAAACTTACCCGCAGTTTCTTGACTTGCCTCAGCGTTGCAACTTTGCAGTTCCGCAAGTTCAAATATTGCAATTTAACTAATTCGGGGACGAAGCCGTTCAGGTACTTTATCGGATTGTTACGCACATGCAATATTCTCAAATTCGTCAACGTCTCAATTCCCAACAGACTTTTGATCTTGTTTCCCGCTAAATACAAACTGTCCAGTTTCGGGAAATCCATCGCAAGCGGTAACTCACGAATCACATTGTATCGGAAGTCGATGCATCTTAAATGGGGCATTTTGTTTACAACTATTTCATTTATTTGGTTGTAACCGACTTCTAACGTAGACAACTGTGGTTGAAACACGTGCTTGACTGTTGTCAATTGATTATAGTTTAAAATGAGCACTTGGAGGTATTTGCAAGTTTTTAAAGCAGCTGTGTATAATTCGTTATTATCAGCTTGAAGAAGAATTAAAAACGGTAGTTCGGTGACGGGCTGCAGTCTCTGTATATTGAGGTTGTTATTGGAAACATCGACAAATTGTAGATGTTTGAAGCAAGTGATTGCCTCTATGTTCGTTAGTTTCATCCACGTAATTGTAGCTTTTAGGTAAGTATACCTGTAACGAAAAATCTTAGATAATATGGTTTTAAATTTGGTATTCAAAATGAGGTTTTCGCCTTTAATACGAGAAGGCAATTATTTAAAAAAAAAACGGAGTTTCATTTAAGGAAGTTAAGGACCTTCAATAAAATTTGCCTTGAAATTTGACTGTTTATTTGGCTTCGTCGTCAAAGGTTCAAATTACGATTCACGAAAGGAAATTATCTTCCAAAAAAGTATTATATATATATTTCGCATATAAACCGAGGAGGAAGAAGTTTTCTGCTCACCCGTCCCCTTCAGCCGTTTTTCCCAACCAACTCAATCTTATGCTGACTTCGGATTTTTTTAGAATCCTTTCTTCGGATATATCAATGACCATTTTCTCCTCCTCCACGATTGCCTCGGTCACGGGCTCTTCTTCTGACTCAGCTTCCTCCGTCTCATCTTTCTTCAAGTTAAAATGTGATTTCAACATGAACTGCAAATCATCCGCTGTAAACGGTTAAGTTGGAGCTTTTGAGTAGTTATGTTGCAATTTTGACGCTTGTTGATGTAATGACAAATGAGCTTAAGCTGCCATTGTTTTTTTTAATTTTTCACCAATAAAGTTTTATATGCACTTTTGTTAAGTACCTTTCACTGCCCTTGACGGCGAGTTATTGCATTTTGTGTATAGTATTTAGAGTTTTGAAAACGATGTTAGAACGAAGTTTTTCTTTTTTGAAGGCAATAGTAATGAGGTTTACATTAGGGGATGAATCTAGTTTCTCTTACTTTCCGATGACCGATTTCAATAAAACTTGGCAAAGTTGAGGTAGAGTTTTGAGGTCGTTTTTTTTATAAAAAAGTTATATTATTATAAAAAAATTGTGCTCATTGGATCTCCGTCTCACTGGATGGAAAGTGACGATGAAGTCGACGATGGAGATGTGTAAATATCACTCTCGCCTTGAAAAGGCTTATAGTTATAGCGTTCAGGAATAGGTCTTCAGTTCGCTATAGAAATGTGGAAGCGTAATGCTTTGTGCGAATCCTTGTTATTACAAGGATTCGCACAAAGCATTTCGCCTTGTTATTACAAGGATTCGCACAAAGCATTTCCCCCCTAGGTCGCTATGTTTGGAAAGATTTGGATATTTCCAAACATGGGACCCCAACCTACGTCTATAATATATAAAAAGGGTGTAAAAACATCGTCAATCATTGCCTATATAAGACCTATGACGAAACAAGGTTTACTAGAAGTTATCACACAATAATGGTATTATAACTATTTTTCTATTGTTAATTAAATATATTTACTTAGTTTTTAAGCACTAATGTATAAAAAGTATGCACTTATAAGATGCCTTAGAGCGGTTACACGGCGACTATTAGCAGCAATACAAACGTGAAACGCGCAATTGCATCGTGACACAAACGCGCGATTGCGTCGATACAAACGTGCGACTGCATCGATGCAAACGCGCGGCAGCATTGACCTAGTCGCTTGTGTTGAGTCATAACGTGCGAAAAATCTGTATAGATTTATGCACATTGTTTTATTTTGTTAATTGTAAATTTAAAAGTGAAATATTTAAATTAATAACGTGTATCGCGTTTTCTTCGTTTTTGTACCGCGATTGTATCGCTGCTTAAGTCGCGCGTGTGTTTAAATATAGACTATTAGCGACGGCATCGCTGCTATATTACAACAGAATCAATTGTCCCAAACTCGTAACAATACTATTAGATTTGTATGGTTTAATCGTATAGGTTTATGACTGCATAAGGTGTCATAGCATTTTTTGCATCTGTTTAACTTATATTTGTAATGGAATAAGTAATTATCTAGTAACAATGTGATCCAGTATGGTTTCTCCTTCGCAGTTCTCGTTCTCCTCGAACGTGCCAGTCTCGGTCACGCCGCAACAGCACATCGAGAATATCCTACGCAAGAAAGCCAACTCGCTCAACATTCGCGTCGAACGTCCACTTAACTACGTGCTTAAGGTGCGTAAACATTCTAATCTAGAAAAAAACGACGAGAATTTTCGACGACGTTCTGCAGTCCATCAATTAGTACGAGAAGCCAAAAAAAATTGTCAGAGCGCAGAACAATTTTTTTTTCACCGTGAGCAATGCTTTGTTAACAGGTTTAATGTTAAATTATTATAAACCTTTATTAACCAGTTCACTTAAAAAATTGCTGATCATATAACAATGTCAATCAGTCAGTCAGTCAAGGAGGCGGTTTGTAACCATAGGACCTGATTTTAGATTTATAAAAATATTTAGGGTATAAAAATTAGTTTTGTTCACAGCAAATTAATAACACAATGTCAAAATAAATTTAATTACAATTATGATTACACACAATTATTAATATATTAATATTTTTCATTGAAATATATTTCTTATTAAATTTATCGTGACATTTTGGACTCATCAGCTTTTTAAGTTAACTTATCTCATTCTACAAGGATAACCTATCCAAACTTAACTGCCTATGTGGCCGAACGGTTACCGTACCTTTGTTTTTTTTTTGACGGGGGGGGGGGGGGAATCTTTATGGATACCCCTGAGCCCAGGGAGACTCAGGGTTTGTGTGGGGATCCAGATTGGAGGGCCTACCCCACTAAAACCCCCCCGGGTTTCCCTTTCGCCGGTTGAGTCGGCGCCGTGGGATCAGTGAACATTCACTACGACACCGCCCGGCCGTCCTAGCTTACGCCAGGGCTCCCGCGCCAACGGAGGGGCGAGTCGGCTGTCCTCCGACCCGCCCCCCAGACGAGTGAGGCCGTGCAATGCAGGCTCCGTAGTCCCTGTCCAGAGCCCGCTGGTCTCACTAGGGGATCAGGCGAGCAGCGAACTGCCTTCGCCTTCTCCCCGTACGTCTGCGCCGGAGCGGGTGCGCGTCCGCCGCGTCCTCGCGTACCCGCTCCGCGGCCTCCTTTTGCGACATAACCTCTGCGCAAAAGGAGGCCACCGCCTCCCAGGACTCCTCGCTATCGAGCATGGCGGCAACCACGCTCGGCAGCGAGAGGTCCTGCCCTATTATCCCCGTCAGAGTACGGCGCTGCTCATCCCACCGACTGCACACCTCTAGGGTGTGCTGCGCGGTGTCATCCGCAGCGCCGCACTCGTGGCACGACGGGGACGGTTCCCTCCTCGCCACCTTGTGCAGGTAGTGACCGAAGCAGCCGTGCCCGGTCAGCACCTGCACAAGGTGGTACGACAGTGGCCCGTGGAACCGGTTTACCCACTCTACGAGGACAGGGCGGATCGCCTCTATGGTACGAGCGCCATAGGGGGGATCCGCCAAGCCCTCTTTCCACCGGTACGCCAATGAACCTGACCCGGGTCCTCGATCCGAATCTTTTACATTGCGTGATTTTAAGCATTGTAATGCAGTCTTTGTAAAAACATCTAAATCCCAAAATATGGACTAAGGTTCTTCACTTCTCACCTACAGAATTATTCATTATTCTTCTTGGCGTGTCGACTCTGACGTTTGTATTTGTGAGGACCAGTATAAGTACTGG